AGATTGAGCTACCTGACCAACTTCCTGTCTCAAAGTCTGTTCAGTCAATTAAATTTAGACCTTCTGTTTTTGCTGCTCAGTCTAAAGATGGTACAAAATATAAGTCTAATTTAGATTTATGGCACATGAGACTTGGACATCCCTCAAAATCTATAATGTCCCAAGTTCTTTAACTCTGTAATGAAAAATTTGAAGTGAATGAAGTTATCATTTTTGTGATGCCTATTAACTTGACAAAGCACACTCTTTACCTTTCAAACTTTCAACCTCTCACTCATCATCACCTCTTGAACTTGATCACACTGATGTCTGGGGCCCTGCACCCCTTCAATCTACATCTGGTTTCAAATATTACATTATATTCATTGATGATTATAGCATGTTCACTTGGATATATCCTATGAAGAACAAATCTGAATCCCTAAATTCCTTTTATCCTATTCAAAAACCTAGTTGAAAATAAGTTCAATACGAAAATCAAAACTCTTCAGTCTTATTGGGAAGGATAATTTAAAGCATTTACTGAATTTACTCTACAATCAGGCATTCACATGAGGTTTTCTTGTCTTTAAACTTCATCTCAGAATGGGAAAGTTGAAAGGAAATATCGCCACATCACTGAAACCGGTCTAACCCTCCTTACTCAAGCCAGCATACCATTGTACTACTGGTGGGAGTCATTCCATAGTACCACCTATCTCATAACAAACTGTCCACACATGTTCTTCAAATGAAGTTTCCTTGTCAAGTTCTAAATAGTGAACAAACCAACTATATGTTACTCAAGGTTTTTGGATGTGCTTGCTTCCCTTGTCTAAGACCTTACCAACCTCATAAGTTCAGTTTCCATTCTACTAAATGTGTCTTCATTGGTTTCAGCAATTCCCATAAAGGTTATAAGTGCCTTAGCTCTTCTGGAAAAAATTATTTATCTAGGCATGTTGCTTCAATGAAATGGAGTTCCCTTTTAAGCATGGTTTTCTAAATAAAGGTAACCACTCCTCTGAAACCATTATCCAATATATGCCACCCAAAATTTCCTCTAATACTTGTCCTGTAAGCTCATTTGATACACTTCATTCTAGTTTAACTCAACCAGCAGTATCTCCGAGTTCTCTTCAACCAGATGAAATTGAAAATGAGATACCAGAAGTCAATGATAATGGAAGTGCAGAGATTAGACATGAACATATTGAAAGGGAAACCTATGAAAATACTGGAGGAACTAAGGCAAAAGAAACTGAACCAAATATTCAGACAAATCGAGAAAAGATGGAAGGAAGAAAAAAAAATGTTAAACATTCTATGGTTACCAGAAGTAAAGCAGGCATCTTCAAACCTAAAGTGTACACCACTCTTTGCAAAGAATTCAAAACTCAACTAAGCGAGGCGGAACCTAATGATACTTCTGAAGCACTATTTGATAAGAACTGGAAAGCAGCTATGGAAGAGGAGTTTAAAGCTTTGGCAAGGATCAAGACATGGACATTAGTGCCATCCTTGATCAATCAAAAGGTCATTAGGAAACAAGTGGGTTTGTGGGTTTGCAAAGGATTTTCTAGAAACTTCAGTCATTGATTATCATGAAACCTTTACTCCAGTAATCAAGCCTTCCATACTAAGAATAATCCTGTCACTTGTTGTGTCTAAAGGCTGGAGTGTTAGACAAGTTGATATCAGTAATGTCTTTCTTAATGGAAGGCTAAATGAAGTAGTTTTTATGGAGCAGCCAGAGGGCTTCATCGACAAAGCCAAGCCAACCTTCATTTACAGGCTTGAAAAGGTTCTTTATGAACTGAAACAGACCCTAGGGCGTGGTATGAAAGCTTAAAAGTCACACTTCTAGACTGGAAGTTCATCAAGTCCAGGGTAGATAACTCATTGTTCTTCTACATGAATGAAAGGCAAGTAATTTTTTATTTGGTGTATGTTGATGATATAGTAATCACTGGAAATGATCACAAGTCACTGCAATGCTTCATTGACAAACTTAAATCACAGTTTGCATTAAAAGACATGGGTGAATTGCACAATTTTTTGGGGATTGAAGTGAAGAGATGTGAATCTGGAATGCATCTCACTCAGGCTAAGTACATCAAGGAGTTGTTAAAGAGATTCAGTTTTGAGCATCTTAAACCTTGTACAACGCCTATGACAGTAGGAAAAATTATCTCCAAGAATGAAGGAGAAAAAATGGCTGATCCATTCTTGTTCAAAAGTGCAATAGGTGGACTTCAATACCTTGTTCATACACAGCCTGAAATTAGCTTTACAGTAAATAAGCTAAGTCAATTTCTTCAAAGTCCTTCAGATGTTCATTGAAAGGCAGTAAAAAGGGTATTCGTATATTTGAAAGGCACAACTGAACAAGGTTTTTGGATTCAAAGAAGTGATAACCTGAGCATCACAGGTTATACTGATGCTGATTGGATCTCCTGCCCTGATGACAGGAAATCTACAGCCAGCTATTGCATTTATCTAGGAGATACCTTGGTTGCTTGGTCTTCAAAGAAACAACAAGTGGTTGCCAGGTCCAGTGCTGAATCTTAATATAGGGCTCTAGCCTTAGCCTTAGCTGAGATAGCTTGGATTGAGTCGCTTCTTAAGGAAATCAAATTGCAACCTACTTCATTCCCAATTATGTGGTGTGATAGTCTAAGTGCTAGTGCTCTAGCTTCCAACACCCAGTTTACCATGCTCGAACTAAACACATTAAACTTGATATACATTTTGTGAGGGATAAAGTTCTTGAAGGCAAATTGAAGATCCAATACGTTCCTTCATCTCATCAGATTACAGACTTGTTGACAAAACCTTCATCTCATTCCAAGTTCTTGTTTCTTAAAGGCAAGCTTGGAGTTAGTTGACAAAACTCCAGCTTGAGAGAGGATGTTAAAGTTCCCGGATTCAACAGCAAGTTACCGTATTTACCAACACTTACCGGTTATGGCTGAAGTTACCGTATTTAGCCAACACTTGCCAGCTTTCACTTACTCACCAGATTAAGCAAATGTGTGGTCATAATTATACAGTTTGGGACCACAATTCTTGTTGTAACTATAATTGATTCTTCACATGTAATTACAATGCATTACTTGCTCCCTACTCCAGCAATTCATGTCTATATTACCAGTTGTAACTTTGTAAATAAAAATTGAATTGAGCTTTCACTTTTAAATCTCTTTATTCAATTACCAGTTAGCTTCTTTTTCTCTAAATTTTAACTGCACACATTCAAAACTGATCAGAATGGACTCTCTCAAAAATCATCATACCGCGCACACATACTTGACAAAATGAGACAGCTTCCCTATTTATAGAAGGATTTTGCTCCTCTGCCAGGGATTGGGGACAGGGATTGGGGACCGATCCCTCACTGTGCATGGGACCCGCGTGAATAAAATATTTCCCAAATGTGTGGGGCCTCCCCCCTATGTGAGGGTCGGTCACCGAGGCCTGTTTTTTGGCCCTGTTTTTGTAGCTCGGTTCTTTATTAGAAATCTATAGACGGCAACCAGCAGGAGAAGTACAAGCAGCTGCATCATCCGACTAATAGCAAATGAACACATCAACAACTTCTTTTCAATGTAATTAATTTTACGAGTAGCCAATAAAATCCTTGTGTAGCTTTCTTTGAGGAGAAGGGACTGAGCAGTCTGGAGTTTTTCATTAGGAAGGAAGCGGTCAAAGATTACGGCTAGAATACTTCAAAATTAAGAGATTATATAATTGGCTAACATATATTTCTATGCTTTTGGAGAATTTCTGGGAAAGACGTGCTGATTTTTAAGAGACTCTTTTCTTGTGGAATGTAGTAGTTTTAAGGTGAACGAAGGGGTCAACATCATACTATATACCCATAAGAATTAAAATTTAAATTTTTATCAAAGTCAAAGTCAATTAATTTTAATGACATTTTATAAAATTCAAAACTCGCAAAATCAACCAATTCAAAGTTTTATTGTAGAAAGTGTTCCCACATTTTCTGAGAGTTGCGAGGTTAACCTTTGGATGGGGGAATTACAAGACCTTATTACTAATATTAGCAAATTAAAATGTGTTCAAGACCATTTTTAGACTTCTCCCCCGAAGTAGTGAAGATTTTAAATCCATGTTTTCTAGACATCGGAAGTAAAAGAAGGGAAAAGAAATTTATTTGGGTTTGATACATCAGTTTGATATTTGTTTATACAAATCAAAACTGGTCAGAAAATATAGATAAGTGCACTTTCTTTTTGTGGAATGGAATAAAGTCAAGAAACCTTATTTCATGATATTTACATGAAGTTCCTCTTTAAAAAAGTTTAGGAGAGGATATGACTTATAATCTACTATATGCAATTTTTTACAGTCTAATTATGATATAATCTACTAAATGAAAACATAAAAGTTCAAGCTCAACCATCTAATCCATTTTCGGAACTGCAGTGCCTCTAATTGCCACGCAAAGCATAATCATTTACAGTCTATATTGTATACAGATACAAAATAACAACAACTTCATCTGCATGACAATCACTCATCTAAAAATCTCAATTCAGGAACAAGGAAAAATGATAACAAAAAATTCAAGCTCAACCATCTAATCCATTTTCGGAACAGCAGTGCGCCAGTGCCTCTAATTATCACGCAGAGCATAAACATTTACTGTCTATATTGTATACAGATACAAAATACTTTAAAAAGAAAAATATATCTTCTACCCGTTTCATGGATTTTTTTTTTTTTTATATCTTTTTTTACATTGGCTTGGGTTATTTTTGGGAAGTTAAATGGTTTAGATCATTAAAATTTCAATTCAAGCAGTCTTTAAAGCAGCCATATACTGCCACCAGCTTCCCAGACCTACATAGTTGATGTGTCAGTGGTGGTTTGGGGCGGAAGAACTTGAAAATTGTTTCTGACATCTGCGAATAACTACCAAAGAAGAAACTTCCCAAAAGTGTCATGCTGAATAGAAAATCTACAATAATGTTACAAGTGTGATCAAATATACTCTGTCATCGGCTTATTTGATCAGATGCAGAAATCTGATTCCCAAAAATTCTTTCGACAGAGGGTCCCATATCATGGACAAACTTGATAGATTCTGAGAGCCGATGGAGTAAGTTTATCAAAGCAATCACTTCATTTCGTTGCAGCTGCAGCGGAAAGCCAATATAGTGGTCAGTCACAAACAACTTAAATGAGGTTTAGGCAAAAATAGGCATAGATCATATATTGAACATTCTTAAGTGTTAGGCAAAAGTGACTTCAAGCCATAATCAAGAGTTATGACTGAAACGTCAAAAATAATAACGCAGTTGAGCTTTCAAGGAAATCCTTTTAACATAGACAACTTACAGTTTGACCTGAATGCTCCTGGCCATTGACAGAAAATAAAATTTTCAATGCAGTTCCAAGACCCAGAACCTGTAGCTTTCCCCAAAGACGACACTTTTCACATCCCACGCAATCCATCAATGAGCTGCAATTTTTACAAGAGAAATATGGGGCATCAGAACCACGGGATTCAGTAGATCAAAGAATGCAGATAAAAATGCAAGCATGAAATTGAAAATGTTCATACTTCATATCATGAAGCAGGATCAATAAAATGTACGAGTAAAAACATTAATAAAAAACCTTATGTTTCTGAACTGTCTCTGAGTTTGTTGCATCAGCTCAGGTCCACTTTGGCCTTTCCACAAGTTAGCTTCATCAAATGGTTTTGGGCATGCATCTTGAAGTTTACTGTCGTGCAGCAACTTCTTCATCATAAGCTTTGTATTCATGTCCTCCATAGGATTACCAGTATCATAGTCAGCCTGCTCCAAGTAATCTGCCGCCTAGAAAGTATTCAGTGAAGTAAAAAACAGATAATTAAATGAACCAAAATACGAGCTCCAAAGCTAATAGCACTCACCTTTGTCACTGATCGCAAGACAAATAGAAAAGTGAAATATAAATTTCTGACACGGTCCGGATATTTCAAAACCCGATCATACAGCAAGGAAAGATTTTGGCCCCACTGCAATTAGAACAAAGGGAAAAATTGTAGGATATAGACAGATCAAATAGTATAGTGCATGAATGCACATGCATACTCTTATTTAGCAATCAACTTTGAGCCATTGCGGACCCAGCCTCGAAGCTCAGCCCGGGCGGATCGCGGACGTTGACCGGTCAACGTCGACAGTCAGCGATCGTAAGAGCAAGTTCGATTAAAAAAATATTCAATATATATGTAAACGCACTAAAACATAAAAATTGTATGTATGTATATATATATATATATAAACGCACTTCAATACAACCCAAAATATTAAAGAAACACGTAATAGAAACTAGAAACACCACTAGAACTGGAAGAAACAGTTACGGACTTTCGTTTCGACTGGAAAAGTTGTTCCATAATCTACAATAGCAAGTGTGCAACATAAATCAATGAATTCGTCTCTCATAATCTCATACAACTAATTTCTCAGATTTTGCTTAAAAGGGTGTGAGCTCAAGAAGTCATTTTAAATCCACACCAATTGTTAAAGACTTTGCATTTAGTATAACCCTATTTAGTTTAGTTAAAAATTATATTTGAGTAGATATTGATCAAAATTGATTAAATATATGGTTGAAAAATTGCTAAAAGTTATGGATTCCATGAGATGTATGGTTGAAATAAATTGTTGATTTTAACTTTTTTTTTTTTTTTAACTAAATCAAATAGGGGCTTAATCAATTCACTAGACTAAGAGTCTAAGACTAAAGTAGGAATCTTTTTCTTTTAATTTCTCAAGCTATTAAATTGATTAATTTTATAACTAAAATATAGACTCATAAGTGTGATTTTACACTTACCTGAACGGTTTAACCACTAAAAGTGAGCATTATGGGAGTGCTTGAATTTAGATACTTAATTTTAGGATTAATTTAGGAGAAAACCCAGCTTGGGCACGAAAGGATGAAAATAGTGATTTTGATCAATTGGATTGAGGGTCACATAAAATTTGAAAATCGAGTATTATGGTGTAGAACTTGTAAGTGGAAGGACCAGTTATGCAATTAATGAGGACTTGAAATGAATTAGCAATTGAAGAGGAGTACTAATTTCCAAGTAAATGAAAGTCATCGCAATAGCCAAATTGGGGTGTGGTCGTACAGTTTATGCGGGGGCAAGTTCCACATTAGTTTGGTTTCTTACTTCTATTCAATTTCTACATATGATATTTAAGACTCGTTTGAGCTATTTTAAACTCTTAAATAGTTTCTTTATTTTTTATTTTTGGAACACACAATTTTAGAGATAAAAATACGTTGCAATTCAAGATCTAAGAGCAAAATCAAGGGTTTTGAAGAATTGGGTGTGAGTATAAAATTCTTGGTCTAAGATCTTATTCTTTCCTTCATCTTTATTTCAAAATTCAGTGATGAGTTCTATTCTTTATTGGGCCCAAGAACAAATGG